TCACATTTCTAAAGCCTGAATTATTTCACTTCAACTTAAAATCATGTAGTGAAACCATTGAAGTTTTAAAAATTGTCATTTTATACCTCAGCTTCATCACTCGATTTTCAATGCAAGTTCATGGTCAAGGAGCCCATTGTTAGAGAACCCGTCAAATAACCTCTACTTACTCATCACATAGTGGAGTTGTATGATAATCCTGGCTGAAAACGCGTGACTTGTATCTTGTGACTTCAGCCGAGGCAAAAATCTATCGTTTGCCATCTATCGGCTTCGCTGTGTAAGCGTGTCCTCAGTGATATTTTTACCAACAGCAGTGATGTTTTTAGGAGAAGAGAGCGCCTTCCTTTAGTATCGATTAACCTCCACCCCTACGCCTGGTAGTCCCGGAATGCTCCTTATCCGCATCGTTGACTTAGTGTGTGGTTTGCAAGTTTTGCGGCTACCGTGTTTGTCGAATGGACAAATGAAATGACGGTGATTTGTAAAGTTGTGGCAACACGCCAACTAATCAGTTTTCATCACACTTCCAAACGTTGCAGGATTATAAAACATTTACTGCGCTTATTGCTGTTAAAACCTTTACGACTCTGCATTGGTGTTTTAAAAAAATAGCTGCGAAAAACGTATGTGAGCACGGCCGAGACGGGCAATATTTCTAGTTAATTGGCGATAAGACTTGTTTAGTCATAACAAAATGGTAGCGGACAATGCTTTGTTTGCTTTGTTTCGTTTTGCTTGACTGAACTAACTCTGCTACTGAGCATAAGGTAACTGAGCCGGAAGGCCCCAAAACGAATGTTGTACATGCAACCGCATTGAACTTTTTATCACTACGTACCCGCTGCCGCAGGTAAAGCAGCTCCTCCATTGACATGACACCTGGCGGCAGCAGTTCACAGTTTGTGACCGCCGTCGCCGTCGTTGGGTCCATGGAGCATGGCCAGGATTGCGCCGGCGGAGATTTGGCCCACTGGTCTTTATGACGCACATGACACACCTGGCCTCGCCAGGCACGGTCGGGTGCAGCTGCAGCCAGCCTAGCGCGCGACCCACAGTCATGGGGCTCTGAGTACAAGCCGTTTTCAACAGTACTTACCCAGTTTTTGGAAATGCTGTTGTTTGATAGACTTCAGTTTATTGCTGTTTTCTTTTTTTCTTGGTTCAAATCATTGTAGCCATTTTCGCACACGCCGCTGATAATTCAGGCCAACCATCCAGCTTATCTTTGCAATTTTGGTTACTTTGCTAACTCTATCAGAAATGATAACAGACCTTAAAAAAACGGCCTGGATTTCCACATCAGTTCGGTGATATCCAAGCCCGCCTCCACCCTTCACGTTTTGGCACGTCGAATACTTTTTGCTGAAATCACTACTAGGGGAAAAGCTCAGTATTAAACGAGACCTATCCTGCCTTGCCAAGTTGTGCTGGCAAGACCGAAATGTTGCTCGAATACGTGGATACTTTCGTAAAGAATAGACCGATGGTAGGTTTGGTTTTTCCAGTCCCGGCTCGGCAAGCCAGTCATTAAAAAGTCGAACCTCCCGGGCACAGGCCTTGTCATAGCCACACAGAATAATTTGTGAACACCGTTTCTGTGTGGTAGACAGCATGTCAAAGTTTTCACACGTCTAGTTAAACATAGTTCCCCGGAACGCAATGTTTTCCCCTGTCTGCTGAGTTAACAGATTATCACAAAACGCAACGTTTGCCTTTTTGTCTTCCCCTTTCTCTCTCTCTCTCTCTCTCTCTCTCTCTCTCTCTCTCTCTCTCTCTCTCTCTCTCTCTCTCTCTCTCTCTCTCTCTCTCTCTCTCTCTCTCTCTCTCCTCTCTCTCTCTCTCTCTCTCTCTCTCTCTCTCTCTCTCTCTCTCTCTCTCTCTCTCTTCTCTCTCTCTCTCTCTCTCTTCTCTCTCTCTCTCTCTCTCTCTCTCTTCTCTCTCTCTCTCTCTCTCTCTCTCTCCTCTCTCTCTCTCTCTCTCTCTCTCTCTCTCTCTCTCTCTCTCTCTCTCTCTCTTCTCTCTCTCTCTCTCTCTCTCTCTCTCTCTCTCTCTCTCTCTTCTCTTTTCTTCTCTCTTTCTCTCTTCTCTCTCTCTCTCTCTCTCTCCTCTCTCTTCTCTCTTCTCTCTTCTCTCTCTCTCTCTCTCCTCTTCCTCTCTCTCTCTCTCCTCTCTCTCGCTTCTCTCTTCTCTATCCCTCTCTCTCCTCTCTCTCTTCTCTCTCTCTCTCTCTATCCTCCTCTCTCTCTCTATCTCTCTCTCTCTCTCTCTCTCTCTCTCTCTCTCTCTCTCCCCTCTCTCTCTCTCGCTCTCTTTCACACACACTCCTATTTGTCCCACACTCTACACTGATCCCACCAGTTAGAGTGCACAAAGACGCTCAAAAACGGATCGCTGTTCTTTAGCTGCACGGTTCCCCACTCGGCAGCAAACGCTGGCGGCCAACAACGGTGGCACGGGCGGCACGGGCGGCACAGGCGGCGGCGGGCGATCGGGTGGGCTGTCTCTGGACCGGGAGCGCTACTCAGCGGAGCTGGAGCTGCGCGTGCGTGGTGCGCTGCTTGACGCGACCCAGTGGCAACAGATGACCTACGACACGGTCCACTGGCTTGGCGCTGTGCAAAGGTCAGAGGTCACGAGGCCCAGAGACGGGCCACACACCCGTATGTCCTTCAGATGGTGATGCGTTGCGAAATATTTGTTGCAGAGGCTGACACTGTTTCCATTTGGTGTAGCCGCCAATAAATCATGGTATAAATTGTGTTCCTGCACTCGTACTAGCACAGACCGACTGTTTGCATCGCGTGGCAGTTTGAGACAGCAAACGAGAATGAAGGAATATAATCGCACGTATACACCTCTTACCTTTACTGTGTGTATTGCAGGCACAAATCTGACAGCAACTACAGCTGTCTCCAGTTTGCGTTTTGCCAGCTTCATCAGGTATTGCACCGGAGTTTCGGCATCATTGGACGTCTGGTGGCAGTTCTAGCAAGGTAACTAGAGCGTCAGAATGCTTCAGCCTATATTGCTCGTCTGGGCCCTTTGCCCGAGCCTGCTGCACGTTGACAAGTGCTTATTTTGTTGGCGATGTTTAGAACGAGCGACCTCCACCTTGGGATGACACATTTGTTTTTCCTATGTTAGGGAACTCAGAATTTCACAAGTCTTACAACGTAACATTCTCGTTATGTTATATTATCACTCAACGAGACTAGATGTGAAAAGTCCTCAGGAGTCCGCATACCATGCAACTAAATAAATTTAGCGTAACGTCAATAAAAACGGGGATGCATGCTAAAACGTGTCCTGCCCTAATGTTACTATATAGCCATTTGTTATTTTCAGGAGTTACGTTCTGTCATCACAAGCAATGACATCTGATGTCAGAAGAATCCTACAAACTGTTAAATTCAGTGATAATGCTTCCGAATGCAGTGTCATTTACCAAACATGTGAGGAATAAAAGAGCATTCGGAGGATTTGCTAGCAGTGGGAGCCAAGAGATCGCAGCTAAGTGTCAAATACTGTGCGGGCAGCTTGATTTAGGAGGGATTGTTCTGTTGCGTTATACCATGGTGTTATTCTTTGTGTGAGCACAAATGCGTTTGTTTATAAATGCGTGCAACGTGGCGCTGAAAATTTCACTTCTCATTATAGGAGTGAAGTGCGCGAATGACCTCGATCAAAACAGTTAGAAATTGAGCCGATGACCTGAACGTTAGAGATGACGTGACAGAAATTCAGTGACATGCATAGATGCCTTTTATTGAACTTTTGGAAAGAACTTGTGACACGAGTGGAAATCCTATACGGACCAATGATAACGCTGCCAATAAACGTGATGCAAAATATGCTGTGTATATCGATCTGATGTAGTGCGCGAGTTAGCGAAGCGATCAACCGAATGCAGTCATACATGCGATTGTGAGTTATTGTCCGACTTGTTTGTTGCTTGTTTGCATAACATTTGCGAAACTTGCACGATCACGAAACTGACTGCATCTACAACACACTGACAGAATCCTAGAAGGGTTTTGCATTGCTAAGGCTACATGGAAATTGCCTTTACTAATTCGCTTTTGTTCGCCACCTCAAAGTGTCGCTACAGAACTCTATTCTGTAACCAGAGGCCAGTGTTAGAAATACATTTTTGTCAACAGATGGATCTCTTTCTCAGATTTTCCTCCATCGAGTTTTATAAGCATGATGTGCAGCGAGAGGCGCAATGGTAAATGAACAGCTTTTGTTGAAAATGGGCCGACAACAATTCCACCTCACCGTCGCGTTTTTTGTTTAACAAGACCGACGTACTTATATCAGAATGCGACCTAATTAAGTTGCAATGGCACATAAACCTAGATTCAGGATGCATGCAGCTTCAGTGCTTAACTTGTATCGTTTTTTTCCACCTGGTCGATGGTGAAGTCAACATCAGGTTACAACGGGCTATTCGTTAGAACCTGCAACATCCATCGTGCTTCGAGTTGGCTACGTAGTGCTTTAGTTGTATCCCATGCGTATATGAAGCAGAGACCAAAATGGCAAGGAAATTCCCTTGAAGCATTGTATGGGATTCAGCAACATGCTATAGCTTGCAGGTGAGCCCCGACTTATCAATATCTGCACTACTGCTGCATGTATCACAGCTTTACCTACATGGCAACATCTTGCTGGTTCTAACACGCTGGGGCAAGGGGGGAGAGCGGAGCAGTGGAACCTCTGTCTAAATGCTAGATGGAGGGGGTGGGGGGCGGAAGATTAATGTTAAAAGCTACCATTACTTGTGCGGCAGTTCTCCCTATCCCCTCGGAACCTATGATTAAGGACCCGACTTGAGAGCCCGAAGGGTCCGAAAACCCCGCCAGAGGTCTCATTCGGTGGCCCCGGCCCGCAAGGCGGGCGCTCAAATGCCAGCCAAAGGGCTCTGCGCGCTTCGTGCGGCTGCGGGTGCTGGTCGGGTGCGGGTGCGGGTGCGGATGCGGATGCTGATCAGGGACCCACTGAGTCGATAAGGGCCGTTATTTCAGTCAGACACCACCAGAACACACAGTCGGCTCCGTGGCGCCATGGGGCTAGGGCCCATCTCCGAAACAGGGAAAAATCAAGAGCCATCAATTTACATTGTTCGGGGCCCCACAACGCCTAAGCGGAGCCCTGTGTTGCCAAGGGGCCCCGAGTCAGCCAGAGGCAGTGATTGAGGAGACCCGAAAAGCCTAAAGGGCCCACCCGGTCCAAAGATCAAAGGCTCGACAAGAGAGCCTAAGGGCATAAAGGGCTTGCCGTAGTCTTATTCAGGGGCCTCGACCTGTGAAGACGGACTCTCAAATAACGGCCAGAGGGCCCTTTGCACCGATCGGGGACCCCCTGAGTCGGTATGGGCCTATATGTCGATCAGTTACCACCGTATTACATAGTCGGCTCCGTGTCGGTATTGGCATAATGACCCACTTCCCAATCAGCTATAAAGCTGGGTTAGCGATTTACACTGGTCGGGGCTTCGCATCTGTAAGAGGCCCATAGCGCTTAATAGAGGGTCCTGTGCTCGCAAGGGCCCCGAGCGGACCAAGGAAAGTGGCTGATGAGGCCCGAAGAGAGGCCCGTGCGGCCAACCGGAACCGACCATCTAAGGCCCGGTTGGGGGGCATTAGGGCCCGAAGGACTGGTTGTAGGTCACATAAAGAATCGCGGTCCGGAGGGTCATGACCTGAAATATCAGTCAGAGGTCCCCTTGTACCGTTTTAGGAGCTCCTGTGACCATGCGGGTGCTGAAGTCGGTCAGAGACCACGAACACCGAACAGCCGGCTCCATGTCCGTCTGAGCCTTTGAGACCAACTTCCCCAAACAGAAACGAGGCTGGGATCCGCGATTTGCAATGTTAAATGTTCATGACATAGCGGTGGGGGGGGGGGGGGCTCCTGTGTCGGTTAGGGGCAACAGTGCGGAACAGGGGCCCTTTGGGGACAAGTGGCCCCGAATCGGAGCGGTGTTTGGGGGATCCAAAGAGGGGCCGGACTCTCGAGACCCAATATCAGGGGTTTGAAGTGTTGGTTGAAGGGTCCGAAGGACTGGCTGCAGGGCTCATTAAGGATATAGGGCCGTGATCTTAAATGTCAGGAAGATTATCTCTTGCACTGATAGAACCCCTGAAACTGGGCGTTCCTCTATTTCATCCAGAGATCACGAACACCGAACAGCCGGCTCCGTAAGTGCCTGAGCTCTGAGGGTCCAGCTCTCAAGCAGGGACAAGGCCAGGCCTACGACTTACATCGGTCGGGCCCCTGTATCGTCCAGGGTCCCAAAGTACCTAACAGGGCATTGTGTGTCAACCAGGGCCTCGAATCGGTCAGAGGAAGACTTGTTCAACAGGGACGGGGACGGGAGCCCGAATGACAGAGGGTTTCTTGCGTTGGTCGAGACCCTCTGACAATTGAAGGGAATAAGGACTTATCATGATTGCTCCCACTGGGGTAACAGAAGAAGAAGAAGTCCTGTGCCAGCCAGGGCCCCTACTTCCGAAAAGTGGGCCCTCCAGCCCTTTTTCAGGATGGGCCCGTTAAGCCCAACTAGGGTTTATTGGGCCAATAATTTGACCACCCACGGCGAGCAGGCACGTTGTTCGTTAATGACGGTTCATGCGCCGATCCGGGTCAAACGCGCGAGTCAAAAGGCCTCCCGCGCCAGGGAGCGGACCAGGGTGATATGATGTATCCTTCTCAGGGCCCCGAGATCGGCAAGGGGGATCTTCGCAGTGTCCTAGAATTGCCGGCCTTGGATGTAAAGCAACACCCTACGAGGAGGAATTTTTCATTCTTTTTCCTCTATATTTTACGTGGATTTTTTCACTCCTACCTGACACTGTCTAATCGCACATGCCAAACACATATTTCCCTCTCCGAGTTTTTCAGACGTCATCCAAAACCGAGTTCACTTCAAACCACCAAGCATAAACAAGGCTCCACAGAACCTGGACACCTGGCTATGTCCTGCCTCACCTACATCTGAATCATGTCTATTTATGCACAGAGCAATAGCGCCTATAGCATTAGCAATAGCATTAGCAATAGCAATAGCTCATAACCACAATAGCATTAACGCCATCTTTTTTAACCTTCAAGCCCAAGACCCCCAAACGACTCCAGCCGCTTGCATGCATTACGTTTGGTTTATTTACAAAATGCACACAATCGGCAGCAGTGTGCCAAATACAAGGTTCTCACGCATCCCCAATTTTTTGACTAGCCACCACACCACGAAAGCACAGCCTGGTGCAAACACCAGCAAGGCCAGGTAAAAAATTTTGCTCTACGTATTTCTTTTACCCGAAGAGGCTTGACCATTAAATTGTATCACTCCCGAAATGCAGGAGTGAAGAATTCAAGAAATATCTTGTAAACAAAATTTACAAGATGAATATCACCATTTGAGCACTTATTTTAACAGATTTTAGGTCAAATCAGACGATAACAAAAGTTTGTCTGAAAAGTATCTGTCTTTATAGTCATTCAACTGCTTTTGTTTTTCCTGGTATCATGCGCGTGTGATACCACTTTATTCTTCCTTCCTCTCCCATTGTCTTTAGAGGTACCATCTGTTGCTTAAAATGTTGACGAATTTCTCTGCAAGATGCTCCAGCTGCAAACCTGCACGCATTTTATACATAAATTGGATTAATTCGCCAGCCACCCAAACATGTTAGACACGCACCCAAGACTGAACAATCCACAGCGAATGAAGAAGACAACTTGAAGCACGGAACTCATTTTTAACGCCATTTTTGCCCCGTTAAACCCCCGGTTAGCAATTTTTTGGTTCATGGTGATGCTCGACAATGATAAATCTAAGTCTTTCGAGTGTCCATCTCACCAGGCCCGCCCCCCCCCCCCCCCCCGACAAGGCTATCCTTATGCTGCCATATAGAGTTTTCGGACAGATCTGACGCAGGTAATACAGGAGTGCTTTATGGCGAAATTCTGTCCCTCAGAAATGTATATCATGCACACCTCTTACTTGTTTCGGATTTTAATCTGGTAGGCTGGGGGACGTGATTGATACTTATATTTGGGGAATTATATTTGTGAGTGGGATGACTGCCCGTCAGCAAACTGAGCAAACTGTGGCACTGACTTTTTGTTTTGGGGGACCAGGAAGAAGTGTGCCCCGAAAAAGCCAGTAAGTCTCCTGTGGACTAAGTAATTGCTTGCCTTACCTGCTTTCAGCACATGATTTGTAAGCAGAGTTAGCTATTTTCTGTTGTAAGCCATCGAGTTTTAGCATAAGACAAACTATGAGCCACAAGGCATGCAATGGGCTTATTTTATTCCATATTTTTTATTATTTGCCCCAAATCTCTGGAAGTGGTCCCCCATGGCTGCTTTAACCAGATGTTTTCCATAGTTGTCATGCTTTGCTGACTGGCAGATAACTGCATTGTATATATGCACCATATTTTTAACACTGGGATGCTCTAAGCCACATAGCAGTTATTATATGAGGCAAATATCAGCATCAAGCAAATAGTCAGACCATCCCATTTAAAATATCAGGCCAACACCTCAGACTACGCCATTTTATATGAATAAGCAAGCCTAAATAGATGCCTGTGCTGCAGATGAAAATGCAAGCAGCAAAACTGGTATGGTCATCTAAAAGTTATGTTACTTTTGGAAAAGAGAGATTGTTTTGTGGAGCGTACCCATTATTGCCCTTGACAGAGGTTAACCATGGCAATCAGAAGAAGTTGTTCAAAGTGATTTTAAGTGTTTTCATTTGTGTGTTGCCAAGTTTGTCTGATGTCAACAAGCATACACAAATGAACAGAATAAGGACGCAAGTTGAAACCAGTAACACATGAGCTTTATCATGTTTTTATTATAAGTACTGCTGTCAAGAGATAGGTGAGTTGGGATGATGTTCAACATATGGGCTACTCTAAGTTAGGTTGAGTTGGTTAAGTGCATGGCAAGCAACAATAGGAATTGTGCAGGAATCAGTAACTCACAACTGCCGTTGTGACACCAACAGATTGGACAGAATGAGATGAAGTAAGGCCTCTTTAGGTTAGGCATAGTTGGGCTACTTTCATGGAAATAAGCATTGGTATTTTCTAAGAAACAGTGACAAAATGTTTGTTTTCCCTGACCCCAGCTTAACAGAATCCAGAGGTATGTGTATTTTGTTTGACTTGGTGATGGGCTGATGTGTAGGAGTCCAAGATTTTTTATTTCAGTGCCTCATGCTTGTTGATTTTTGTTGTTGTTATTTTGCTGTTGAATTCCTTCACTTTGTTTTGTGTTAAAAATGCTGTGGAAGGGAAGTGCAAAGTGCAGCTTCAAATTATTGGTGTTGGTGAATTTTTATGTTCATTACACTGTCATGAAGTTGCTATGCTTTAAAGGGAATGTTCCACGTTTGAATATATTGAGAGAAGCACCAGATATGATGGGAAAAGCTTACTTGTAACTATTGGTAAGTTTTCAAGGCTCAAAAACGACTCTAAGTAGCAAAGTTTCTAAGTTTGTAAAAAGGCGCCCAATTGCGTCATCGTTTCGTGACGTCATGGAATGGTTTTGTGACGACAGCCAGACTTGGCAGCATTTGTCAGCCAAACCTAAAGAATACCTCGAAAGGCGCTAGAGCTGGCGCCCGCCGGCCATTCTGGTGGCGAATTTTGTGTGGATGGCCAGCAAGTGAAGGGTTTGGCTGTGAATTTTTGTCTTGGTACTGGTCGTAGGACAAGCTTTGGTGGGCGGTTTGACATACGCAATCATTGACCCATAACAGACTAGACAAACTTCTCGACCTAACAAAACGTGCCGCCCGGCAACGCTGTCCAGGGGAAGGCGTTTTTCTGCGGCGCTTACCAACCACTGGAACTGCTATACGCAGACGTTTCGCGGTGGCGCATGGGGCGAAGATGGCGAGAAGCTGCTCTGCAATCGGGTGTAGTAAGAGGCAGGGTGATCGGTGAAGACATGGAGATAGCTTGTCATTCCACAAGTAAGTATTTTCGAGATTGATCGTGCATGAATTACTGATTTTGTTGGGTGCAAGTCTGCACCATGACTGTCAACCTGCGCATTTGCTGGTGATCAAGGCGGAGATATGAAGTTATCTCTTTAATTCATTTTGCTCAGACACGCTGTGTGCTTTCCTACTATCATGTAGGCATTTTATCACAACTGAATCCAGTTGCATTCACCTTTAGGATACTAAATATGCATGTTGGCAAGTGGGAAGATGGAATGAAGAACATCTAAGAGCCAGATGGAAAATATCTATCAAGAATGGGCGATATCAATGTTTATCACTTATGAAAGACTGACATGTGCTATTCAGCACTGATGGGGTGCTGGTATGGCATTGCTATTGCAGTTGCTTCCTTTCAATTGGAAAATAACACATAAGCATGCTATTTGCATGGTTAATAGGGCTCGCGAGACAAGACTAAGCTGGACAAGACAAGGCTTAAACTAGACAGTGAAAACCACTCCACGTCATGTGATTTTAGGGTAATGACTGACTCAAACCAGTGTCTTGAATTGGCTGGATATTTTAGCTCTTTGCACTCTAAGAAATCTTTGCAACAGGGTTAAAACTGTACCAAATGCGACATTTTGTAATCCAGTTCGAGCTCAGCTAACAACTCAATTTCTGTTTACTTTGTAGAGTCCAGAATTTAGGCTTTGACCAAAATCCTCTCAGTAAGAAATTGTGTACTAAACACCTAAAAAAATTTGGTATTGCTGGATGAAGCCTTGCACACTCTGCCGCACCACAGATTTAGTGAATTGACTGGTTGACAGGTGTGTGACAAAATGCTTGTTATGGTCATCACATTATATATGGAGCTAAATGAAGGTGTTAGAGGTGTTCACAAATGTCCCATGCATTTGCTGATATCAAAATTGTATGAATTTCATACTAGATTCTGTTGATTGAGACTGTGCCCGGAAGTGAGCAGCCCACACCGGTGATACTCAAATTTCAACTTTACAGATGCTGCCTAAGTGTGCAAATTCACATGAAGCTTGTTATCAAGTTGCCTTGCTATTGTCTCAAGGGTCTTCTGTTGTATACTGTTGTATATTGTCTACAATGAAATTCCAGCTTGCATCCCACTTACAACCACAAATTTTCTTTAGAGCACAAAAGCACAATCAAACATAACCCCATCTCAGGGACATGTTTGTGTCATGGAATATAAATGCCACCTAACTACCACTCCGACACATAAGACGTCTGTAAATTGTGATGGTGCCATGGTGACAATCAAAGCAAAAACAGAAATGTGGCAAATTGTGGTATGGTGACAATTGTGATGCATGATTTGCACTTGTTACATAATGCAGGGCAGCGTTCAGATCATTAACGTGACATGGTCATAATGTGCACCACAGCCCTGCTGAGTGTAATGCTTGCAAAATGTGGACCAGATAGAATCAAATGGGTGAAAAATGATGTGGAAGGTGCATGAGGTGCATTTTGAAGGTGCATGTTTCGCTTCTGTTCCAAGTACCCTCATCATGACCCGAAGCTGCTGAGGAAGTGGATTACTGCTACAAAACGTCAGGGAGAAAAGCAAAGGACGTGGAAGCCCTCTCGAGAGTGCACTTCCAGGCAGTGACCACTTCATGGAGACTGATTCTGAACCACACGGTGAACGCAGAATGCTGCGTGAAGGAAGCATCCCATCATGGTTCACGTTCCCGGAGCAGACAAAACCAGCGGCACGCAAAAGTCCCCAAAAGCGTGTTAACCCATGCACAACTCCACCCAAGCCAAAGCATGTCAGGCACCTGCTTCTCGGGCAGCCGCACCAGCCCGTTCCAGAGGAGGCTGTGGCTGTAAGGTGTGTCGACGTGTAAGTCCTGTGCAATAACGTTGTCAATAGTACGGTGTACGTGCTCTGAATAACATGATATACTATGAGCATATCTCGGTGCCTACACAGCTCGCAGGAGTATCGAGCCGACGGTGCTGGACGTAGCTTATATTCTTGTAGCGTACCAAATTGAAACATAAGCTCTGGCCTTATCCGAGTGTGGATGGGGACAGATCTATTCTCTCACGCAGGTGAACAGCGTGCATGCAGTGCATACGAAGGGATAACCATGGCCCGAACCCCAGCAACCCACCGGGGCGGTTACTTCGCCCATAAAGAACGACGTAACAATGTCCTCCGTCTCCCAACAGGCTGATAGAAATGATGACATTGGCGTCAGTCGGGTGGACCCAACTGTCGAATACATTTAAAGCTGGATACAGTTGACTAACATTCATGACAATTTTCTTGCTCGGCTTTGCTTCTGACTATCTCAAGTCGAAGCCACAAGCCAGGGGAGCGTGATACGACTGGCCCCTCCGCTCGCTGGAATGCTGCAAAGGACTACATCCGGATGAGGGTTTAGAACAGCTGTTTCCAGCGTTATCGTTATGGCATCTTTGCTGTCTGAGAGGGACCATCTGTTTTCTTCTGAGACCAGATATTATCCTGCTCCCCCCCCCCCCCCGCCCCCCACTTCTGCCACGACGCAAACGCAAAATCGCAAAATCAGTATGCCTAGATCAGCCTATCAAGCCGCTACCCATGCCGTCGGAGCAAACTGCCGTGCCATATTGCGTAAAATTGATGTCTTAAACAGCCCCAGAATTTTTAAGGCCCTCACTCCCATCATTTCTTAATCACACGCCTCCGGAGATCGGCCATCCGCCATAGGATTATCATTGCGGAGCTAACTCTTGCCACTCTCCGCATGGTGGCGATAGTGTAGCAGGACGGGAACAACCGGCCGGTCGCCACGCCAAAGGGAGTAGACTGTCTAGAGCTTTATAGATCAATGTACGCAACGCAGTGGTCGCCGGCTTTTATGGCATATTTTTGAAAACCGTCATGTAGTGTCGTGAATCTCTAACCGAAACCTGCCGAGGACTGTTGAAGATGTCAATACTGTACTGTCCACCTGCCTTTGCCTGCAGTGCTGTAGTCGTGACATCGATATCTTTTGATGTACGCCGTATTTGCTTTCTTTTTTTGTAACTGGAAGTGCAGTCACATGCAAAAATTAAAAATGAATTTGCAACATTGCTATGAATTGATCACCAAATCATTGTTATTGCTATGGTAAAAATGGTAAGGTTAAGCCACCAAGAATGCTTTTCTTGCACAGGATTATTTATGCCGTCACTAGTTAGCCCTGATACAATCATTGTGGTGTTGTGGCATTGCGGCCCGCAATAGTCCCTTGGCAGCGTTAAATCAGACGTTAAGTCGTTTACATGTTATAAACTGTTTTCTCACAGGCTTGACATAGAGCAGTCAACCAATGTGGTACATCGTGGAATGGCCCTGGTCAACCGTGTCATTGTGGCCTACTCCAGTGCTGTACTGTAGCATGGCATAAAGAACAATGATATGGTTTTTGTATGCAATACCCCACTGCTTTAAAAATGAATTCCATCATGAGGAGATGGGTCAATTGTGCATTCTTGTATTAACTCTGCATCTGACATACGACTGGTCAGAAACACAGTAAACATTATACCAATATCTTTCAGCAAAGCACACAACCAGTAAGTGTCTTCACTTGTTCAGCCTGTTTTGTGAATCCCCAAAACGTGGGTAATACATGCAAACACACCTCTGGCAAGGCACATTCTGCATCCAACGATAATGAAAACTAACATTTAACTCCCAACAAATATCACATGACACTCCACCAGGAGCATCCATCCTCAATGGACGGTGCTTAACGCCCACCAGGGCGAGCAAAGCGGGTTAGCTAGTCATGACAAATTTTACTACTGGATCGGCTGTGCCGGGTGTGGCTGTCCGCCAGGCTCTCTAGACTCTCGTCGGGCCGATGTCCGTCGTGCACATTTGGGTGTGCCACACCGCAGTATTCCGACGGACCAGTGATGGTGACCTGCATACGCTTGTCTCCGATGGCCTCCAGGAGCGGGCGCACATGCGGAAAGGTATTCGACACCTTCACCGGCCACAGGATGTACTGGTCGGAGACACGGCTGTAGACGCGAGACTTTCTGGAACTATGCAACGAAGTTCAGTCATAACTAATTCACATTGGGATACATCACTATGGACTTTCGTTGTTGACAACACGCTTCCCAGAAAAGAATAGTTCTGACAAAAAAAAGAAGGAACAAGAATAGACACCATATTACAAAAAAACTTTCACCACTTAGTTACACCAAGCCGCCAAATGACGATGTTCTATAACTCCATCCAAACCATTTTCCATGAACGAATTTCTGGGATCAGTGTCTAAAATGACAGAACCTGGTATGTGCCTTGCGCACATCTGATCGTAGGAATACCGTTTGTAGGGGACTTATGGCATTCCTTCATGTGCCGCATTGCTCGGCAGAGTGCATCCCACCCTCTGACCTCAACTGGCCTTGAGCGGCCACTGCCGCAGGATGCAGGCCATCCCAGCCATGGGCACAATAGGGAGCAACACTGCTGTTCCCGCTCACCCACCACCGCGCGTGCTAAGGCAGACATACGAACTGAGGCGGACAGTTGTTACTGGGAGTCACCGCCAGGTACATAACACTCATTGCATTTTTTAAAGGGTACTCATTGCAATCACAATGTTTTGCTCGTTCTGGGAGAATGAAATAAGAACTTTCTGGATTCAGCTCAATCTCTTAAGGGCGCGACGGCGCCATAGTTCGTTAAATACTGATTTGTGCATGGTCAGAGGACTACCAACTGTTTCCTGACTACTAGCGACTATCCTGAATACCACAAATAGTCAAACCCACGACTACACATTGCTGTGTTAAAAGGTAATGCATGTACTGCTGTGCTGGAGTATTCAGTGCGCCCCTTGCAGCCGTCAAGCCACGCAGCGCGCCCGCGGGAGGCCGCCGGTGACCCCGCGCCCCCCCCCCCCCTCCCACTCGTCCGCGCCCAGCGCCCTAAGGTAGCCGCCGGTGACGCCGCGCGGCCGCTCTCAGTCCGCGCCCAGCGTCCG